TCTGGGTCAAGGGTGGCTCGATGTCGCTTAACGCGAGAGTTAACATTTGTTCTCTTCAATCATAATCTTCACTGCTTGATGTAAATATAGATCTTGAACGTTTACGAACATTTGCTACTTTCACTTAAACTTGAGTCTTCGAGGTAGATATATTATACATAGATGTTCCTAGGGTTACCTTCACTTACACTTGCTTCTTCGATGAATTCGTCGAACGATGTCAGCCTCGCTGTTTTGACTTGAACAGTCCATTTGCCGTTCACTGTTTGTAAAAATTCAAAACAGACATTTTACAAGGAATATTCCTATGAATTAATACTGAACAATATAATTATTCCTAGTAACTTTTGATTTACAGTCGCACAGCAGCAATGGGAGTAAATTAAATCTACGTGCGTCTCAGAGAACACGTCATTGCCGACTTTAGCTTTGAGAAATCCACGACGTCTCGAAGAAGTTAATGATTCCAGGACGCGAGCGAGCGATGATAGTGCAGCGAACGAACGCTACCGATCGGCGAAAATTACTTATTTCCTCCATTGAAATTGCGTCGCACCAGAGAGAAACGAGACAAATCGAGCGGACGTTATTGGACAATATTGGTCAAAGAGAAGTTTTCGACAACGTTACGGTTGTTTGCGCTCGGTCACGGTTAACTACTGGCTAATTGCCTTATTGCTCTCGCGGCTTCGCCGGCCGGAACGATCGCGATACTCGAGAATAATGAAAGGATCCTCTCATTCCCCCGAATGGAATAAAGTTGGAGTTACGACTGAATCGCGTTAAACGGCGAGACTCGCTTCGTTAACTGGTCCGTCGCTATCCCCAATGGATCTTGGAAGTTTAGCTGTATAACTGGATCAGCCACTGAAAGCCTGCAACTAGATTCGTTGATTGCTTGTACTCGTTATTGCAACTTTTGGAATGTTCGGTGACTGAGGTTTCTGTGTCCCCTTTATATGTATTTCGTACTTTTACTATCGAATTTTTCAAACGGCATGAGATATATGAAAAATCGAAAAGTACATTAAAAGGATGGCTCGATGGTTAAGGATTGATCAATATTTGGACACTTAGATGTTGGAATATTAAATGTTTGAACTGTTAGAATTTGGTGAAACGATCATCACACGACCATAAATCTGGATTCATTTTAAAACTTGAAACCACTACTTTCAAAATGCTCTATTTATTTTATTTCTAGATATTTTTTACATCACGTAACGGATGAAAATATGAAAACCCTGCTTGTGCTCTGCTTGAAATCTACGATGAAAAAACAATATTAATATTACTTTTCTGTCAATACTTAATTGCTCGAACTCGATAAACCTCCGTATTTAGATAAATTCCATAGTGTAAATTGAATTTTAATTTTAACTGATATTATCCCATATCACATTTAAGTCCATTAATTTTAATACATATTGATTTGAATTCGCGTTAAATTAAAATTTCAATTGTGAATATCTATCTAAATTCCATAATTTATCTTAACAGAGGACAAAGTAATACGATGCTCACTTGGCAATCCTCGATTCCATCAGTGTGCTAGTCATTTAATTCATTAAAACGCGGCGCGGTGACGCGCGACTCGAAACGCCTGTTCATCTCACAGATGGAATCGCGGCAAATGAGATTTCACTGGGGAGACGGGCTATATTTACAAGACTTTTAATTACTCCCGCGAGCTGAGCTTTGTCCATTTCATCTGCTGATTATGCATGTAGTCGCTTGGCCGAGTCCTCACCGAATCCACCGAGCGATTTAAAGCCGAGTTTGGAAATGTTGATCGAAGATGAATGATCAATTTAATGAACAACAACGAAATGCTTGATTCTTTAACGCATTTGCAATCGACGACAACATAGTTTTATGTCGTTTTAAAATCTCGAGGCATTTGGCGGCAATGTAATCCTATGTTATTTCAAAATTTGTAGCTGATTGTTAATGGAATTTTATAATTTTTTTTTCATATTTTAAGGTATTAGATCCCATGCAAAATTCTATATGTGTGTCGAATATAATATATATAATATTTTTAAAAATTTGAGTCACGACATTTTTTTCTATAATTTTCTAAATGTTTCATTGTCATTATTCGACTGCGAATCACACTCGTGAAAATTCACATACTTTTATGAGTGTAATTTAAAAAGCATAAAAATCAGCTTGACGTACGCTTATTTTTATTTATCCTGATACCAAATCAAACGATCGGATTTTCTTTTCTTCCTTTGGTCCGTTCGAAATTCCTTGGCTCGAGCAGAATTTCGTTTCAAGCCACGAAGCCATACCGATCCGATCGATATTACTTCTTATTGCTTGATCACGGCCAACCGGACGGCCAATAAATCGTTCCTAATTTGGTTTAAGCACGAGCTTGAATTATCTGTTCCTAGGCTAACGTCCGCGGATTATCTCGTCTGGACTCCTGCGGCACGAACGACACGGCGCGCGCTCTACCGCCTGTAAATTATCATTAATTTTATCGTTTTATCTCCCCCGTTCTGTCCTCCTTTCTATTTAAAGATTTAGTCGTCAAAATGACGGAGCGTATCTCGCTGCTCTTGTCTCTCCTTTTCGAACTTTGCAGTTTAGCCCGCGGAAGTTGGAGCCAAGTTAAAGTGGATTAAGCCTGTGTCAAGTTGCTTCTGAATTTGAAAAGTTCCCCGCGACTGATTTGTACATTTATTCGGGCGGAAGTCACCGGAGAAGCGGTGGTTTATTAAACGACCGGAATTTTTCACGATTGCGGGGCAAATGGAGCCCGACATTTTTCAGTTTTTCCAGTTAACGAAACAAGTTAGGTTAAAATGTCCAGAGACAGACAAAGGGAATTCTTTTTATATGCAACTGCAGAATATCCAGGGGTAGGTTGAATTTTATTTGAAACAGTAACCATTTGAAATGATAAATCGTTTCCACTGATTTAATTAAATATAATTAAATATTTGTTAGCTATTTAAATTTATTCAATTTAATTATCTTTGTCTTGGAGATAACACAGGGAATGTGTGGTTAAGAAATAAATCGTTTTTGCAAATAACCTTCCGTTTCAGTTGATTCAGTTAAGATAAAATAGTTGATTTGTGAATGCACGTGCAGTCTCATATCTTTGTGAATATAATCTAAATGTACCGAATAGAAATTTGTGACTTAGTATCAAGTATGTACTAAATACAATCACGACGAGTGCTTAGAAAAGTAAAAAACGTTATATATTTTAATATATTCTACATTAGGTATTCTTTTATATTATATTGTATCGCGCAGTTCCAAATTTTCCATAAATGCACGAAATCCGTATCTTCTGACAATACTTGGTTCTTGAACGATAATTTTGAGATGCACTGTATCTTCATATAATATTTCAGCGTTGAAATTGTTTCACGAAATTCCTACAGAAATTTAATTATCCGACGTTTGAGCGAAAGCTTTTACCAGTGAATCTGTATGTTGTAGCTTTCTATATACATTTTCAAATTCGTTTTAAATTTTACCAACGTAATGGTCCATGGTGGTTGATGAAATTTCGAAAAGTGTATTTACATAAAGTAAAGCATGTAAAGTAAACGATCAAATATTTTCGCGAGCCACTGCGAATGGCACAAATCATCCTGACGCACGAATTATCGGTTTTCCATACTCGTGGATGAAACTCCGCTGCTAATTCGAAGAAATTGACTCGCGCGATCATAATTACGCAGATAGCTTCTACGAGTCCGGGATTCGAATTGACGTTCGATTTAAAAACGCGCGCGATTCCCCTCGTCCCGGATTTTCTAGTCAGAAAACTGCAAGCTATGCAGTTCAATGTTCAACGACGGATCGGCGGAAGATCACGATAACGAAATGTAACGCGAAAATTCACTGTTTGATTAAAAATCGCATCGGGGAACTCCCGATTCTGGTATTGCGCGTGAAAATATATTACCTCGCATTTTTCTGCTAGGTGTTCTTATGCTATTTCACGCCGAAGGAATCCAACCGATAATCGCCAACTATGGCAAAAATATTTCGAAACTATGCACTTCGTTTTCATTATTCCTCGACATATCTCGAGAGAAAAATATTTTACTAATAAATAAATAACCATCATCCGTCTGTCACATAACACGTACAGTGTTGGCGAGGTTCTGTGACATTTATTTTTATAAAATATGTTTTCGACATTTTTGACAATCAAATTTGCAAATAACTTTTTCGAAGATGCGGCATTTTTAGCTTGGAACGCATCTTAGGTTGTAACAAGTCCAAAATGTAAAACAGATGATCGTAACTAAGTATAAATTAAATATACGTGAATGCAGCACAACAGTTTCATTTCAGTGCAATAATTTCAGTATCTCTCCACGTGGTATTATAAAAGAAAGAAATTGCAGTTCTAATTTTTAAACGAGTAATTTCACAATCGATTGAAATTCTTGTCACTGAGGGAACAAGAGAAAGACAAATTTAGATTGCGATATCTCATGTAACTAACATCTATTTGCAATAAATTTCAGAGAGAAAGACCAAACAAACAAATTCTAACTCTTTGTCCATCTCTCCGTACACTGTTGCAATGCAAAACGATTACAATGACACAATCGTTGGCAGAGAATTAAAAAAGAAGAGCCGAGTCGATATTTGCAATAATTCGAGAGTAATTAAATTGCGACTCCCCCGTAGTGCAATATTAAAAAGAAAATACTTCGAAATACTTCGATAATCCATTTTCCAACGAGCAACGTTTCCCCCCGCGATTGTTTCCTAGCAAACAAATCGAAACAATTGTAATCTTGGGGGAGGAAATAGCGGCGATCGAAACCAGGCGATGCGGGCGCACACAACAGGAAACACATTCCAAGCTCGCGTTCTCGCGTTTCGTAAATCTGGCGAGCGGCTTTGCAGCCGGGCCCGGATCGGCCCCGGCTTTGCCTCTGATCGAAACATCAGACCGCGTTTGCGTTAGCACGCGAACGTAATAAATCCATTTGTGTCGGTATTGATTTCAGATAATGGGCAAGTGGTACGTGGTGGAGGTGCTGGAGCACAAAGTCGACCCGTTGAAGCCCGCCGGCGGATCGATCATCGTCGATTCTTGCCCGATCGTGAACCTGAGGGGTGTCGAGAACTCGTCCAAGTTCTTCTCGTCGTTGAGGCTGTTGTGGACCGAGCACGCCGGCAATCTCGAGTACACCTTCCGGATACCGGATATCTCCAGGAAGCCGGGATTCTGGATCTCCACCTCTTTGCAAAATGGTAACCAATTCTCTCTCTCTCTCTCTCTCTCACCTCCTCCCTCGCTCCCCTCCTCGTCGGAGGTATTACAATTTTCCAGACGAGAATGGAATTTCAGCTGCCCCGTGAAATTCACAAATTTCCCGAGCGGATGATGACAATTCTGCTGAGATTTTTTTTCTCTTTTTTTTTTTTTTTTTTTTTTGGGGGAAAAAA